CGGTGGTGGAACCAGTGGGGGCAGTGGTGGTGAGGACAGTGGTGCTGGGAACAACAGTGGGGGATGTGATGCGAGCGGTGGTAGGGACCGGGAGTCGTTTGCTGGCGGTGCGTGGGGGGGGGGTCGAACCGGTAGTGGCCCCCTCGGTTTCGGGGGGGGGGGGGTCCAACCGGTAGTGACCCCCCGGTTTTCCGGATCCGGGGGGGGGGGGGGGGGGGTGGGGGGTTCGAACCGGTAGTGACCCCCCCCGGTTTTCGAGGGGGAGGGGGGGGGGGGGAGGGGGTTTAGCGGGGGGGGGGGGTTTTGAGGGAGGGAGGGGGGGGGGGGAAGGAGGGGGGGTTCCAGCATGGGGGGGGGGATTTTCGGAGGGGGGGGGGGGGAGACCCCGGGCTTCCGGAGGAAAAGGTTGGCAATTTTCCACAGTAAAGCGGCGGTGGATCACGCTTCTCTCGTATGTATGTATCGGAGTAGGCGGGGGGGGGGGGGGGGGGGCAGAACCTGTGCCATCATCCCCCATGGGCGCCCCCCCGAACCTTTGGGGGGTCACAGACCCCCGGGCCTGCCCCGGGCCGCTTCCAAATTGCCCACGACAGGCCACGCGGGCCGTACAGATGGTCAAGACGGCCTCAAGAGGCCCCGAAGACGCCCAAGAGCGCCCCAAGAGGGCCCGAGATGGCTTGAAGATGGCCGCCGAGGGCCTCGAGAAAGCTTTCAAGAGGCAAAAATCGGCCCACTCCCCTCCTAAAACGTAGATTCTCAGCAAACTCGCTCGCTTCGTCTTCGCACTGCCCCAGACGCCCAGAGCCCAACACAGCCCAAGAGAGACCCAAGAGGGCCCAGACGGCCCGAAAGGGTCGTCCTGTGGGGCTCACGGATCCCCCCAAGACGGCCCAAGAGGCCCCGAAGCCGGCCCAGGAGGCCCCCAAGACGGCCTCAGGGAGGCCCAGCCTCGTTCGAAATCACGTTCCCGGAAGCCTCTCCAGGAACATGATTTCCGGGTTCTCAGGACGCCCGAGAGGCCCACGAGACAGCCTCAGCGAGGCCCCAAGAGGGCCCGTGATGATTTGAAGATGGCCGCCGAGGGCCCCAAGAGGGCCTTCAAGAGATACAAAGCAGCCCGTTTCCTTAGTAAAACGTTCATTTGTAGCATATTCCCTTGCTTCGCCTTCGCAGTGCTCCCCCAGACGCCCCCGAGGAGCCCCAAGACAGCCCAAGAGAGACCCAAGGGGGCCCAAGACGGCCCAAAAGGGTCGTCCTGTGGGGCTGACAGAACCTCCCAAGACGACCCAAGAGGCCCCAACGCCGGCCCAGGAGGCCCCCAAGACGGCCTCCAGGAGGCCCAAGAGGGCCTCGTTCGAAATCATGTTCCCCGAAGCCTCTCCGGGAACATGATTTCTGGGTCTGCAGGACGCCCAAAGACAGCCCCCAGAGGCATTGGACACGCCGACTCTGGAGGCCCCTCCAAAGGGCCCCAGAAGCAGAAAATCATAAATATTCCAATGGTTTTTGAAACATTCTTGTGCTCTCCCATGTTCCGCCTGCCCACAGTCCCCCGCGTCAAAGGCCCTTCAGATCGCTCCAAGACGGCCGAAGAGGCTCCCAAGAAAGCCCAGAGACGGCCCAGGAGGCTCCCCAGATAAGTCAAGAGGGCCTCGAGAGCGCCCCAAGAGAGCCCCAAGAGCGACCCAAGAGGGCCCGAAGAGCGCGACATTTCAAGGTCTCCGGCCTGAGATGCTCCTAGGACGCCCCCGGAGGCCATCAAGAGGCTCCCAAGAAGCCCCGTGAGGCTCCCAAGAGGCCCTCCGGAAGCCCCAATAGGCCCCCAAGGGGCCCCCAGGGAAGCCCCCTGTGGGCCCCGAAGACACTTCGGTAAGTCGTCTTTCCCACATGGCTTTCCGGGAACATGATTCCTTGGGCTTCCGCCTACCGCCCCAACCATGTTTCCGATAGGTTTGCCGACAAGGCCAAAAGGCGCCCATCGGTAAGCCCCCAGAGGCCCCCCTCTTAGAGAGCCGAACAAATCATGCTCCCGGAAAGCTTCCTGGGAACATGATTCTCTATCTCGGAGTAGGCCCGGGGGGGGGGGGGCGGGCCGCTGCCTGTTCCCCCTATCGGTGCCCACAGGGGGTTGCGGGGGGGGTCCAGAGCTCCCGAGGCGGCCCGAGCCCGCCCCGAAGCAGGTCACGACAGGCTAAGAGGGCCCCGAGAGGGCCCAAGACGGTCCCACGAGGCCCCGAAGACGCCCAAGATGCCCTCAAGACAGCCGACGAGGACTCCAACACGCTCCAGGACGGACTCAAGAGGCTCCCCAAGAGGGCCTTGGAAGGCAAGATTCACTAGTTTTCCTAGTGTTTTTGATTTTGGCGTTCTCGCTTTTCCCGCTATCAAGCGTTCCCTCACGGCCTCGGAGACCCTTCAGATCGCTCCAAGAAGGCCCACGAGGCCCCGACGAGGGCCCCAAAGGCGACCTAGGATGCTCCCCAGACAATCCAAGTGTGCCCCAAGAGCGCGCCAAGAGAAGGCCCAGAGGACTCCCGAGGCGGCCCGGGCCCGCCCCGAAGCAGGCCACGACAGGCGAATGGAGGTTCCGAGAGGGCCCAGGACGGTCCCACGAGGCCCCGAAGGCGCCCAGCTGCCCTCAAGACCGCCGACGAGGACTCCAACACGCTCCAGGACGGACTCAAGAGGCCCTGGGAGGCAAGATTTACCGATTTTCCTATGGTTTTTGAAGGATTTGGGCGTTCTCGCTTTCCCCGCTTCCCAGCGCTCCCTCACGGCCTTGCTCGGAGGCCCTTCAGATCGCTCCAAGACGGGCCACGAGGCCCCGAAGAGGGCCCCAAGACGGCCCAGGAGGCTCCCCAGATAAGTCAAGTGTGCCCCAAGAGTTCCCCAAGAGAGGGCCCAGAGGGGGACCGCCAACCGATATTTCGAGGTCTCTGGCCTCAGAGGCCGCCTGTAGGCCCCCGGAGGCCACCAAGAGGCTCCCATGAAGCCCCGTGAGGTGCCCAAGAGGCCCCCAGGAAGCCCCAAGAGGACCCCCAAGGGGCTCCCAGGGAACGCCCAAGAGGCCCCCCAACACACCCCAAGAAATCATGTCCCCAGAAAACCTTCTGGGGACATGGTTCATCATGGGCCCGAGAGTTCCCGGAGGCTCCCAAGGGGCCCCCAGGGAACGCCCAAGAGACCCCCCAACACACCCCAACAAACCATGTCCCCAGAAAGCCTTCCGGGGATCTGGTTCATTCTGGGCCCGCGAGTCTCCGGAAGCTTCGAAGCACCATCATGCTACAAGACAGCTGTCTGGGAAGTTGATTGGGAACATGACTGATCGCCTTCTCGCGGCCCTCCGCAGATTGTTTCGCACAAAGTTGCCCCAAGTGCCCTCTTGAACCGACGACGACGACGAAACGACGAAGACGACGACGACGACGACGACGACGACGACGACGAAGACGACGGCGCGCCCCAATAGGCGACGACGACATTACGACGATGACGACGACGACGACGACGGCACGCCCCAACAGGCTCCCCAAGACGCCCCCAAACCCATGCTCCCAGAAGGCCTTCTGGGAATCCGATTCATACGGCCTCCGCCCCCCTACACAACCATTTTCCTCCAAGGCCTTTCGGAATGCAGATTGGCATGCGTGGACTGTGGCCAAGTACTTCAGTGGAGCGGTGAATTCGTCAAGGCCTGGGGCCTGCTAGAACCTGAGCGCGCGCGAAGCGCGCGCGATGGTTCTAGCATGTATACATATATACACATATAGATGCGTGCATATATCTATATATATGAACATACATACATAAATGTCAATCGGTATGTTTATATGTACACGTGTCACTATCTCGATATAGCAATCCGCATTTATATACATAACCATCAAGCTAACAATATCTGGTTCAATATTTTCATTTCCACCGATCAATATATCAACCTGTGTGTACATATAACGATCAATCTACCAATCGATCAACCGATCAATATATCAACCGCTCACTCCATCAATGTCCCAATATATCAATATATAGATCCACCAACCTATCAATACTTCAATCAAAATGTCTGTATATGTCATCATGTACGTTTCTACCCATCTATGTATATAGTTTATAAAAAATAAAGAATATCTCTAGCGACCTATATACTTATATATGTATATGTTTATCTACCTACCTATATACACAACTATCTACCTATCAAATATGTATTGTTCTGCTTATCTATATACACCTCTGTCTATCAACCTACCTATATGTCTATCAACCGTTCAACTTTTCTATTTATATATATGTATATGTCTCTCGATCTAACAATATGTTTATATATCAAACTATGTGTCGTTTGTTCAAGCATCGGGACAACCATCGGGGCAACCATCGGGACAACCATCGGGCCAATCATCGGGCCAACCATCGGGGCAACCATCGGAGCAACCATGAGGACAACCGCAACCATTCGGACAACCATCTATCGATCTATCAGTCTACCTATGAACCATCAGGAAAACTACCAGGACAACCATCCGGACAATCATCGGGACAACCATCGCGACAACCATCGAGACAACCATCGGTACAACCATTGGGAAAACCATCGGGGCAACTATCGAGACAACCATCGGGGCAACCATTTGGAAAACCATCGGGACAACCATCGGGACAACCATCGGGACAACCGGCGGACAACCCCAACCATCGGGACAACCGCGGGGACAACCGACGGGACAACCGTCGCGCCATGCCCGGCGCACGGGGGGAGCGGCCCTTTTGGCAATATATTATGGCTTCCACTAGGGATGGAACTCGCGCAGCTTCGCCTCGCACGCACGACACGAACCGAAACCGAAACCGATCTCCCGATTGGGGCTACTTCCGTTCTCAGCTCCAACCTCAGATGCATAGACAGGGTGTCACATCTATCTCATCAGACAGGGTATTGCACTCCATTTTCGATCTGTACGTGCATGCGGTTTCTCACGGGAATTTTCGTCGAGAACGCTTTGGTGCTTGCTCAGCCCACCGCAGAACAGAAGGCCGTGCAAAAACACAACGATGAGATTACCTTGACGAAAGATCTCCACAAGTTGGTCTCACCCTTCGACTCGCTGGGTTCTGGCCGCATCTCCGTGGACAAGTTCTTCGCCGAGGTGGTTGGTACCCCTTTGCATTTTTACTTGCACTCGATTGACGTCAGCGTGAGGGAGCTCAAAGCCTTTTGCGAGTTCATTGGTGCAGACAAGCGGGGCACGATCAGCGTCACCTCACTCGTCCACGGGTGCACCCTGGTGCGAGGCAACGCCCGCAACCTGGACATGCAGCGAGTCCTGCTGGACGTTAAGCGCATGCGGCGGGAGCAGGCCGCCCTGACCCGAGCTCTGAACGTGAACGTTGCAGCGAAGCTCGAGGACAGCAACAGCACGGACTCGCACCCAGAAACGCCCAGGTCGCTGCAGTCGGAGGATTGCTGAGCAGAGCGAACACGCTGCTCCCCCCGCTGCGTCCATGCACGTTTTTGTCTCACTGTGTGGTCCAGCAGGCAAGGCGTCCAGGTACAGTGTAATTCGCGGCGTGGGTAATTGAGCCCGCAGCATGTGCTTAGTTGCACAGAGGACTGTTGCGGATCCCCTGCGGGCAACATGGTGTGATTTCGACTCTGTAGATCTCTCTCAATGTGCCTCGTGACGGAAGCGTCAAGAATTCTACATTTAATGCAGATTGGGGCTACGGCCCACCTTTCATCGCCAATATAGCGGATATCCCATGGTGGTTGGATGGCCCAGCCGACCACACCACTTTCTCACGAGTAACCCAGGGTCTGCCATCATCACCCAAGTCCGAGATCATGGTTTGAACGTGTTTGGTTGATTGTCCTGGAACATTCCCGAGGCGACGCGTGGGCACGTAGGCACGTAGGAATTGAATGGTCATAGACACGCGTCCATGATAGTTCGAATAATTCCATTACATGTATGCGGCGCAGTATCGTCAAGCGTGTGTTTCTACCCCTCTGTATGTTTATGAATCGAACATATCCTCGCACCCTGCACATGATCCATCAATGCCATCAAAAACCTCGACAACCCCTTCCTCCTTAAGTCCTCTTCCCTCTCAGACCCGTTCAGGCCCTCAAGGGCCCTTGGCCGTAGAAGGGAACGGAGAAGGCCGTGACATGATGACACCTGCACAACATGACAAACATGGGTTGCACGACAAAGCAAGCAAACATGATTGCCTAGAACAGACAACATGCATCACAGACAAAACAACAACACCACTAGCAAACCGAACAAACATCAGATGGCAACGGCGTGGCCACAACAATGATACTGTTTTAAGCTCCGAGAAAGGCCCACGCAGGATTCAGGAGAGCCCTTGAAATAGCCCCGCAAAGAGCATCGCAAGGAGCCCGCGTCTGACACAACGGGCCCGACAGACCCCTCTGCCCCCCGCAAAAAAACAGACGAACCCCGAAAGCAAACCGAAACGAAGGTTTCCGCAGCAGTTTGGTCCGCCAGGATGGAAGATGATGAGACACTCATCTGCTACATTTCTTCTGCAAACGACACTATCAAGTTCGGGTCGACACAACACCGGACTCATGTCAGTCAGCTCTCGTGCACGCCTGTTGTAAGATCAGCTTTGGACCAGTGCAATGGCAGTGCGTACGCCAGTCATTCTGTACACGCGGCGGCAGTCATCAAATACATCGGCGAGGTCACGCATATGACAATAATGGATGGGCCAATGCGGGAGCAATTCGATCTGTGGAAAGGCATTCACCCAACTGTGCGGCTGTATAGATTTAGTGTTGTCTCTGCAAATTGTTTGGACAGTTTTCAGCCGCTTCAGCAATTCAGCAACAGGAAGTATCGCGGAATGGTAACAGAGATGGAGATGGGGCAGCCAGAGAGATTGCTTGAACATATTGTCGGTGATTGGCCGCATGGAGTTCCGAACATCACTCTGCGACTGCCCGCTCCATATGCAGTGCTAGTTTCAAAACGAGTGTGGAGGGACATTCTTTTGCCGCATGATGGACATGGAGCAAGATGGTTGCGGATACGGCATGATCTCTTGGGGTTGCGACCGCCAGGGCCTCCACTGCGGCTGCCGCTGCGACAACATCAGCATGCCATCGATGGACGCTTCCAGTTTTCATCTGGGGCGCTGCGAAAGATTGCTGATCAGCTCAGGGCCGCTGCACAACAATATGATCCGACCAATGACATGGACGCAGAAGAGTACAGTGCTCTCGAGAATTCGATCCTTCTCCTGGACGCCGTAGCAGTGCAGCTCAGCCCGGCACAGCTTCACAGGCAGATGGTCGACTGGAAGCGTGGAGACATCAATCTTGCTGGAGGAGATCCAATGTTGAGCAAAATGATGTTCGTCGTGAAGGCGTTCATGCTGGCCAACTTGCTTCGAGACGTTGGCTCCATGAAGAAAGCAATCATGTATGCGATCAATCTTGCACTACCGCCGGCATTGGCCTCATGCGTCAGGGAGCACGTGAATAATAATACAAAGATCAACGTTAAGAAGTACACGATTTCAAAATGGAGGATGTTGTTGGATGGTATGCTGATGCTGTATGGCAGGAATCTTGATGATGACCTTTCGGTCGGTGAAGGTTGTATTCGTTTTTTCATGGCGGACTCGTCAATGCAACGTGGGAGGGACTTTCAGTTGGTCCAAGTCATGTCCCTTCCCAAGTTCAAGGCGGCCGAAATTCTAACAGTCGCTCAGGTCATGATATTGTACCGGCGCCAACCGATCGACTTGCTGGACATCAATGGAGATGACGACGGCAACAGTACCGAGGCAAAATGGATGCAGGACTTGACTGACGCGTTCGTGCACGACCATTGTCCACCAATCACCTTGGGCTCAGGTGGGACAACGCTGTCTCACAAATTCTTCGCCGTCACATATGCAATGTGGTTGATCTCAGGCAAGACAATGCGCATTTTCAAGCGCTTCCTGGATGATCTTTCTGTTGGGACTTCAGACTTCGGAGTCGAGTTTAGTTTATCGAAGGTCATGCCGAAAAGAGCTGTGGAGCTATTCCCTTGGATGTTTCCAGATGACACGTTCGAGGTCCCAGACGAACATGATGATCAACAGCAGCTACGTCAAAATGGAGATGCTCTTCTCAGCATGCAGAGGTCCATCAGCGCGCCAGGGCTACTTCATATCACGCATAATATTGGGAATGATCTTGCATCTTGCTGCCCTGAGCTCGACGAGGCTGTCAGTGGTCTCGCCGCGGTCGCCAGGTGTCTGCAGCAAGAGTACACGCAATCGAGAATCGTAGAGAGCTGTTTCTCTGGCATCGCATCTTCAGTCTTCAAGCAGAACATCCAATCCTTTCAGGGTAAAGTCTACAAAGAACGCTGGGGTACAGTTGCGTTCTGTTGTAAGCAGGTCTTGGAGATAGAACATGCCCTTCGGTCGTGTTGGAATCTTCGGCGGTACATGGAGATAGCTGAGCGTGGAGGTCGAAAGGACAAGCCGAAGGAGAGCAAAGATATCGCGGAGCTGGACAAGTGCGTCAACTCAGCAGAGTGGTGGGGCAAAATCATTGTTCTCGATCACCTCTACGAGCTGATCCGCGACTCACTGATATGGGCGGAGGGCTGCCCGTGTCACAGCCACTTGTTGCGAGCGCTTGCGAAGACAGAGGACCTGGTGGACAATCGCATTTTGAATCGTTGGAAGACGTGCCCTCTGAGAGGCATGCGCCTTTGTGAGTTGGCAGCTGGCGACTTCTTCACCAATCTTCGAGACCTCAGCCATTTGTCGTCCACTACTCTACTTCGAGAGCTACCGCGAGACTTACACTCAAGTGTCAAGGGGATGTTGCTTCGGTGTTTTGAGAGAGGCAGGGCTTTCTTAGCATTTCAATTTTCTCTCAAGCTGTGTTCATACACGGAGCCGCCGCGCCTATTGTTTGCTTGCGCCCACCATGACGCTGCTGTTCAGCGCAGGGCTTTGAAGCAATGCTTGGCTTCATCATGTACTCATCCACGCATCCGTGAGCTGAAATCCGAGCCTCTGCGCAGCGAAGCTGACCAGTTCATTGCCGGCGCTGACGCGACGCAGCTCGTGAACCTTCAGACGGCCCTGGCGGCGTTGAAGTTCGGGTCCTGCTCCGAGCGAAAGATTGAAGGTGGGCACGCGCAGGTCAACATCAAGACAGCAGGGAAGCGAAACCGCACTGAAGCTTATGACAGCTTATCTCTTCGATGGAACAAGTATGCGGCTATGCTGAACAGCTCTGACGGGGATGCAGTTTTGAAGAATATGGCTCAGTACCTTCAGATGGGCAGCAATCCGAAGATGATGCTGGAAGCACTTGGCTTGCACTTGCATCCTGGGACGAGGGCTGCTAAGCAGAACTGGGATCCGATCTACCGCAAGATTCTATATCGTTCTGATCCTTGGTCAAAGTATCGGCAATGCGTGCATGTACGAACCCAAGATGACGGCCGAGACGACTCTGGAGGCGATGGAGCTGGGAGCCCCGGCGATGATCCGCTTGCAGTAGGCGATGGCTCTGGCGGAGCTGAAGTCGGAGGCGGAGATGCTCACGGACATCCAGGACCTCCTGGAGGCGGCGACGGCGATGGCGGAGGACGGACTCGAACTCACACCCATCAATGCTGACCCTCATCATCCAAATCAGCTCGAGAAGGGTTCCGATGCCCTTGCATCGTGTGTGAACTCTTCTTGGTCCGATCTGGTTGATGGGGGTTGTTGCGTTGATGGGTCTCTGGTTGAGTCCATTCAGGAGGCGGCGGCGGTGGGGGAGACGCGCTGGCAGTCGCTCCTGGCCATGCTCTGCTGCCTCACATGGACTCTACGTTTCAGGTTCGGAGACTCTCAGTATGGGCTTCAGATCGGGCTGGGGATGGAATTGAACCTGCCATATGCATTCGCATCCATCTTTGAATTGGATGTGTCGGAAAAAGCTTCTTGGGAGTCCTGGGAGTGGCACGGTTCGACACCGATCCCCAAAACTCGATCAGGCCGATGCCAAAGTCTCCACAAGGGCATCAGACATGCAGCTGCAGTGTCACATTTTCTCATGTATCTTCGTGGGATGTCTGACTTGGATCTATCACGGACGTTCTTTTCGATCAGTGCTCCAGTGGGATGCGTCTCGACATTGATGGGCATCCTCGCTCCCACGCACGTCATGAAGGAGCCTGTGCCTGAAGTTTGGGACACGGATGTTGTAGAGGCTACAGTCAACTGCGACGAGGGCATCCAGAGATTTCTACATGGTGACGACACCAGCTATTTCGTTTTCGGCGTCATCTCGAAATACCCTGTTTGTGCGAAGAGAGCTATCCCAGGGGAGCTTACTCGATCTGATGTGGGCATTGCGGTGCATCGATTGGTCAGCGGTACCACCCAACCCGAAGATGAAGACGCTACTTTGATGATATCGTCTGCACCAGCAAACATCATGACCTCCACAATGACGGAGTCAGACTTCACAATTCCATCTCAACCGCTGGTGTTGCAACCTGACTTGCTGCCTCTCGCATCTGGCCCGGAAGCATTGGCTTGGAGTCCGCATGATGCGAAAATATGCTACCGCTGGGACTGCAGATCTTTTCCAGTTGGCCACCGTATGCGAACCCACAAGTTCTCTGACTGCATGTGGTCCCATCTTGAACAACTTGTTGGCGGGGATGAAGAGCAAGATAGTTCAGTGTCTGGCGAACTCGAGGCGGACGACGACGAGCTGAAGATCTGCCATGATGAGGGCCTCCTTGTACGACGCGTCGCAGGGGA